AAAAAAAAACTCCAAAATTGCTAGAAACGTGAGAGAAAATGCAGCAGTAGCTAAGCAAAAAGATTTTGTCAAGATTCTGTATGTTTTCCTCAAGCCGTTAGTTTATTATAAAAATGCAGTTGTAGTAAAACACTTCTTTCACTCTAACCTGTCAAAATCTGTTCCTTACTTTCCCTTAACGCAGTTTTTTGCAACTGTCACCTCTTAGAATACGTAACATATTTTATTTAATTAGTTAATACTAGAGTAATGAAATCACTTACTCATTAATCGGTTCGCTGCAGAAAGCAAAAAAATTAATTATTTTCTTTTTTAACCCGTAATAATATAGGATATTCTACCCAGCTTTTATTTTCTCTACATTAAGGACAATTGCTGTAGAGGGACGCTGGCAATGACTTTAGATCTTTCTATCATCTATTTCCATCCTTATCACTTTTCTTCATCAGCTGTAGTCTTCCAATCCGGCAACACTTTTGCCTGATAATAATCTGCAACATTTCATTCTTTATTGGAGTAGTCTAAATGACAACTTGTGCGTTTTGATAATTGGTATTTTTAAGTGCCATGTAGTCTGTTTTTTCAAGTTTTTACAGAGGTGTTAAAATCTGAAATAAGAGTAGGAGAAGATCTTGAGACAAATTTGGCAACCGATGCGGGACTGCTTAAATATCAACATTTGGTTGTAAAGACGAAGGGCTACATTTTGCCTGAAAAAAAACCTGCCAGAAGAAGATGGTGGTTTGTATAAGGGCGTAGTTTCACCACTTTTTATGGACTGACTGGATAACTTTGGCTTTCCAGATTGAGATTTGAGATTGAAGTGATATTGAAATGAAATTTTCTACAGGAACTGTTTGAATGTCCCATTTTCGGCAAAAATTTTTTGACGAGCTTATTTTTTTCAGTCTGACAAAAATTTAAAGTCAGAACTGTCCTGTGGGCGCAAAGAAAAGGTTTTATAATTCGCATTTTCGGTTACATAAACTTGTTTCCCTCATTATTTATTGTCGCTGTCAGAACGTGTTTACAAATCTGAAAAATTTTTCTTTTACATCTTATAGAAATGTTGACTAAAAAATGACCCTCTGCTTTTCTACTCTCAAAAACAAACGATTTAGCCTTTGTTTTTTGATTTATCGGCATTTATCAAACGGTTTATGTCCTGGCATTTTTACTTCTAAAAGTTAATGTCTGTTTGTTTTTTCTTAGAGTAGTGATAAAGATCGTAGTTTGTAATCTTCAGAAAAGTTACTAATATAAAGAAAAAACTACAGAGTAGTACAGTATGCCTGTGTTATTACTGACATTTAGAGATATGTTTACCACATTATTCTCAACCAAAACATGTTCATTTTTGATGTTAGTTCAGTGTACTTGTTAAAGGTTTTTGTAATGGCACTTTTATCTTTAGTTAACAATTTTATATCATTTTAAACCTGGTTAATGTAGTGGGGTTTTTTTTGGCTATATAGGTGACACGTAAAGTTAAACATAAAAATACTTACCTTTAAATTGTTCTACTTTTTATAAAATGGTAAAAAATTGCATATTAGTTGTGGAATGCCATTAACACTTCCCTCTCCACTACTTACCGAAACTCTTCCAGCACTTTTCTTTTCCGTTTCCACCAATAAAAAATGATTTGTACTTTTTAAGCAGTACTGACTGTCACTGTCTAACTGCTTCTCATCTGTTCAAACAATACTAGTTGTGAGTTTCAGAACTGAAACGGTCTAAAAGTTTACTTTCGGAATGACTGCCAATTTTCTTTAACTGCTGCTCACTATCTAACCTGAAGTTCAGTGCTGTTATGATTGATGTTGTTGTCACCATTTTATTTGTCACTTCTAGAAAGGTAACTGTAAAGTGTTTATTAGTTTTCTAAAATGTTTATTGTTTTTTTTTTTGCTGCGATAAACAACCTTTAAGATAAAAGTTTTTTTAATTTTTTCACTAGTGGAAAAAGATACTTGATGCCATTGTTTTCTGGCTCCAGTATATTTTCCGTTATTGAGCTTTCTTCCTCACTGTAAAGAGACAACAACAGCTGTTCGCTATTTAATTTATTTAAAAATCTTTCCAATAGATAACTTAAAAGGGCTTTTTTCTTGTTTTTAACGATTTTCAAATTAAACTGTAATTTTTTCTAGGTACTTTCAGACTGTTTCGCTATGTTCCTTTTTCTTGAATACTTCAGCAATAATTACTAATTTCATTTCTTCCTTTTCTTAACTTTTTTGAATACTTTTCATTTTTCACTGAAGTCACTAGATCCCCTACATTTTTTGCAAAGAATCCTCCTTGGCCGTTGGTACCGATGGGAGCACATTCACGTTATCTCGTCATATGACGTAAATGAACCAAAATTTTGTTTTTCAAAAAAACTTAGCCAAGGTAGCTGAATGTAGATCTTACTCAGTGGCATTCATCAAAAGGCCTCACCTTTTTTGTTGGATAATCTGCTAATACGTAGATTTCTGATTGTATCGAAGCTATGTGCACTGATGCGTGGTAAATAATTTTTCAGTAAGTCACCAGCAGTTACAAGTCCAAAGACAGCCAATTTTGGCTTGCTCCCAAGAAACTTTTGTCACAGTGAACAAAGAAACGGTTTTTCGCGCAGCAATTGCCAAGTTATTAAAAAATGCAAAATCACTTGATAAACAGCTGCTTTTGAAAAATGTGTCATTTTATTTTTCGTTTCATTCTTTTTCCATTATGCAAAGGGAAGTGTGTCTGTGAAAGCAGCTATATTTGTGATTGGAAAGTCATATATAATGTGATACATATTATCTAAATTCTTATTTATCAACAAATAGTATATATTGTTTGCGGGTCACCCACTGTATTTTTGAGGAAAAACGTGGTTGCTGCTGTACGACAAGATATCACCTTTTCGTCATCTCTTGGTTGGACCGAAATAATTATTACGACTTTGCTAAAAGATAGTTATAAAAGATTATCTTTTTTGACATTCCACAAAAGTCGTTTAGAAAAGCTACTTAGTAGTGACCGACAAAGTTTCGTAAAATGACAAGTTTTAAATCGTATCGCTCGGCTGCAGTTCTTTGGAAAAATGTTTTCCTTACCCAGAGACCAATATCTAAAAAATTAAGTATTTGTTGTAGGCTTGTAGCTATAATGGGGCTTCTAGCTGTTGGCGGTTTCCTTGTACTTTGCTGGTTTGGATATCTTTTAATCAAAGAAATCGCGCGATATTTAAGGTGTATTTCTCAAATTCAGGGACCTCCACCAATCCCGTTACTGGGCAACCTTCACCAATTTCGTTTCAAACCAGATGGTACTTTTTGCTCGTAAAAACGAATAATAAATATTGAGCATAGTGGCTTGACTGAAAGCCAGCTTTTTAAATGTGCTTATGGCTTGGCTTTTTCTTTTTTATGGTAAGTAGAAGAAATTGATTTCCGATTAAAAGTAGGATTCTGTTAGATAACCTAACAGTCTTTTAGAATTTTTTGAGCAAGTTCAAGGCCTAAGTTACATGCTTGAAAACAATGGTGATAGAATGGTGAGAGTCTGGTTCAGTGGCTGGCCCTGGGTAGTGCTATATGGCGCTGAGGAGTGTGAAGCGGTCCTAGGAAGTAACAAAACTCTTCAGAAACCTTTTCAGTACGGCTTTCTCAGCGGCTGGATTGGTCAGGGTTTACTTGTCAAGTAAGTGCTGTTTAAATTACTGTTGCTAACTGAGAAGCTTCCATTTTCTAACTTTTGAGATGTACAGAATCCTGAGAAACTGATAGACGTTACGATTTCCCATGTTTGATGTTAAAAAATTGACATTCTAAAGCGGCAAAAAATCCTAATTTTTACTATTCTTTTGAAACACTTTTGGAACAACTATGCATTAGACACGTTCTCGATCAAGTATGCACCCAACAAGCACAACCGTGGAAATAGCCTCTGCCCTAGGGTTTCAAAATCTTATCTTTCCTATACCCCTACTTTATTAGTCTCAAGTGTCGGCCTTAGTTGAAAAGTCTTCAGATGTATTTAGATTTAAAAGTACAAAAACCTAAATAAATATTTGAGATTAACCAACTTTTGAAAAATCACTAGAACTTCCCGGAAAACTTCAACAAAAAAATTTGAAAAGTGCAGTGTAAGAATTAAACTTATTAAAAGTTTAAGAAGATCAATTGACGGTTTAACCCGCTTCAGTTGCACTCATTAGCTAAGTCCTGAGTTGATTCTCAGAAAATATTAGGCAGTTGGTAGAAAACAAAAACTTTGAGTCAGAAATAGAAGATTACGATCACAAGAAAGCAGCTGCCGTGTACACCAGGAACTTTTCCGACGAATTAAGCAGATTTCCTCGTTTGCACCTAACAAGCATGCAGAAAAACAAGCTCAAATCAGTTAATAAACTAGGTGAAGTTTAGCGTTCCTTAAAGCAGTCAATGAACCTATGATGTGTTTTTTCCAAGGCTTTCTGCTTTTGTGAGGGACGCAACTATGTACACATTCAATCTAAAAACTGCAACTAAAATTACGATAGGCCGTGCGCAGAGTGAACAAACTTCTAAACAAGAAGTCATAAAAATCAAGTAGAAAACAACTGATCCAGCCACATATCTGATGAACGTTCAACTTTTTAATCACTATCAAATTTTTTGTGAGTTTTGCTGCTCGTACAGTACAGTAAACACATAAGTATTTGAACAACAACAAGTCTAAGCGAGTTTCATTAACCTCTCTCTCATATGGAATTAAATTACGAATCTCAGTGGTTTCCTCAGTCCCCGTCTGTACAACAAAATGAAGGCTTGCTTCCCTTTACCGACACCTTTCACAAACGCTCGACCTTCACTTCCCCTACTATCCGCCTCCTTCTTCTCTGGCCTCCTCACTTAAGGAGAAAAAGAACCGCAAGAAGCTGTGTGATAGAGCAACTGCGAGGCAGCTCTTTACCAACCGTTTCTGTTTCTTACTTTTCAAATAACAGGTACTTATTGCTCCAAAAAAAACAAGCTAAGAAGCTACTGGAAGTGCATTTAATTCTGCATCTTTCATTTAAATATGTGACAAAATTCACCCTACGTTTGGAAAATGGAAGATTAACACTTTGAACTAAACGTCTTTTTTCCTGTGACCCGAGGATTTGTAAGGTTGATGGTAATGGTGCAGTCTGTAAATTTACAAAACGACTAAAAGAAATGTTCAAAGGAAAATTCGTGCTAATAGTGAATCAAAGGCACTGAGGCTAAAGGCCGTGAGCGACCAAAGAAAAATAAGCAACTAATTTATTTACTTCGCTTCTTTTAATTCAAATTGGGGGATGGAACTTTATGTTGCAAAATCATACGACCCTTATATGCACACATTTTGTTAGTTTCCCTAAATCTACATGGCTCATTTAAGTCTAGCATGCAGTAATATAACCTGGTTTCTCAATATACTACCTTAGCTGTAACATAAATAATAAATGCAAATTGTACTCTGCTCTTTAAATTTACTCATGTACTTTGCCATGCCATATAAAAAACACTACTTTCTCCTTCAATCACTGAACCGTTTCCTCATTCCTCATAAATCATTTTTGCATATATGACAAAGCGTCCTTTCCAAAATTTCAACTCAATATATGGAACAAGCATTTCTATGATGAAATAAACTGTATCTAAGTCGGTAAATCACGGAAGGTAAAGTTAATTAGTGCGCCACTCAATAAAAGCGTTTCATCGTATACCGTATAACTTTTGCACTTTTTAATTTACACCATTCAACTAACAACTTACTAGCTAACTGACAAAGTTCAATTTCTGTTGAAATGAAACCCCTAACAATTCCATTTAAAAAACCTATGTCTAAAATGTTAAATATTTTTAGCAAACCAGAAAGATGGAGGCCACGCAGGAAACTACTAACACCAGCATTTCACTACGATATTCTGAAAGACTTCGTCGGGGTAATTCTTAGACAGCAATCTCGGTTAAAAAAAATCTTTCACCTATTCTTTTTCAAATTAGTTACGCAGCTTCTACTCCAAAAGAATTTCCCGTGAGGAACTGACTGACCCAGTTCTCCCCATGCCATGGTGTGAAGCGATAACAAAATAAGCATAAAGAATCCACTCACAACTGCTAGTTAACAACGGACAGGAAACTTCTTTTATAAAACTTCAGATTCATAATAAACATGCCAGAACACTGCTTGGCAAGTTTGAAAACTTGATAGGCAAAGGATACAACGATGTCTTCCACACAGTTTCCTTGTGTACCTTGGACATCATTTGCGAAGCAGCTTTAGGCACCCATGTGGACGCTCAGAACAAATCGTCTCCCTATTTAAACGCTGTTACAAAGTAAATAATTAATTACTTATTCGTTAGAAGCATTTCTTCGTTCCTGATAGACAGTAATAAAATTGAAACACTCCTGAAAGAAGCTGCCGACACTCTTCTCCCCTCAATTATTTATAAAAAATTGATAAACTGTGTCGCAGCTCCTCTGTTAACCAAAAACAATTCGCGCCAAAAAGCCTTTTTCTGTTCTTACCAACTACCCTTGTCAGTACTTCTTTTAACTCATGATCGACTTTCAGGATGAAGTATATCATACATCAACGAACGCTTAAGCCATATTATTATCCAAAGTTCTTATTTAATCTGATTGGAAGCGGTAAAGAGCACGATAAATATGTCAAAAT